AGCACCGAACAATAATGAATTTTAAGTTATTAACTTGAATTGGTTATTTGTTTGAATTATTCTTTGGTTCATCAACTTTTTGATTACAGTACTTGATTTAATTCTCTCTTAGTGTGATTTATTGAATTGATTACATTGACCTATATAGATCAAGTGGGTAAAGAAAATGTCAGTATTAGTCTTTGCTAATACCCTGTACCTCATATTTTTAATGGATTGGTAAGCATCATTAATTACGTATTAGGTGAGGGATGGGTTGTTACAGATCACTCCCTAAAGTTGTGACGCATAACTAACAGATTTTTAAATGTTTTCAAGAGAAAACTGGATAAACACCTCTTAAGGATGTGTGATCAACTGGCTGAAGTTGGTTCCTACATCAGACAATGTAGCAGGGACCATCAATCTGGTTGGCCAGACTGTCTACCCAGAGGTATGAGTGCTAGTCACAAGAACACCCTCAAGATAGACTAAAGGTACGTAGACCACTTACTGCGAACAAGTATTTCTTCTTGGTCATTTTTTTAATTAATTAACTAGCTAAAGTACACAGCAGTGTACTGCCAAGCCTATTCTGTACGAGGGATTATTTATAGGGAATAGATCAGGCATTCTCAAAGGGGGCGATAGTTTAGCTGAGAGGGTAAATTCTTTGATTCAGTGCATTGTCAAACACATTGTGCATTGTCACTCACATTCAGTGCATTGTTATTAAAATAGTAAAATAAATTAAATCACATGCGACTATGATGCACTTTTTTCATTAGTTTTATAGTGATACAGTAATGAAGAGCAGCACATAAAATCTTTTTACACACACACACACACACACACACACACACACACACACACACGCACGCGCGCGTGTGTAAAAAAAAATTAGGTTAAGGGTTAGTGAAAGACTTATGCAAGGACAAGAATCAATTGAAAACAAATTGCAAAGCCATGGAATAGGAAAATAAACTCTTAAAAACAGCTTTGGAAGAAGTTAAAGCAAATTTAAACAAATGACTTCAATATGTTAGGTAAGGAAATTCAACAAGAAAACAGTTTTTGTCAACACAGATGGAGGAAGTTACACAGGAAATAGAACAGTGCAAGAAAGATTTGCACAAGTGTGCAAGGAGAAGGAAACAGTAAAAGAGCAGTAAAGGAAGCCAAACACTGCAGCAACCAGGATAAAACAAATATTTTGATGGAAGTCAGAAAGGAACTGACATCAAATCCTAAATTGGTGCAAAACACAGTTGATCGAAGTAAGTCCCTGATAATTTTTGGTTGTAAAGAAAAGGAGATAACATCTAGGTCAGAAAGGGCTGTAGAAGAGGAGAAAGTAGTAGATAAAATTGTTGGCCTCGTGAAAGGTCTTATAATAGAAAATGTCTGCGACTACAGGAGAATAGGCAGATACGTAAAAGGGAAAGATCGACCTCTAAGGATCACCCTAAATGGTGCCAAACAGATGGAAGAAGTACTAAGGAATGCTAGAAAATTACAAAGTGATGAGGAAGGGAAAGTATGGTCATTAAGACGAGATCTTTCAAAAGAAGACAGATAAAAGCTGAAACAACCTTGTCGAGGCAAAAGTCTAAATGAAAGCAGGAATCAAGAAGAAATCAAGTCTTTTTTTCTACAAAGTGATAGGAGTAGGCAGGCCAGTAAAATGGTACAAAAAGGCTAACCAACAAAATCACTAGAGAGAGGGGGAGTGAAGAATAAGGAGAGGGGGAACATGTTCCTGAAAGTTGCATATACCAACATAGATGGAGTGAGATCAAAGATACTGGAGTTAAGTGATGCAATACAGCTGCAGACACCAGACATTGTTACACTCATGGAGACAAAACTTGTTGATATTTTAAATGAGGTCATATTCCCAAGGGGCTATTCAGTTTAGAGACGGGACAGAAAAATTAGGAAAGACAGTGGAGTTGCTGTGCTGGTAAAAGAACACCTAAAAGGTAAACAAAATAATGATTGCCAATCCACGAGAAGTTGACATAATAGCAAAATGTTAAGTTTTGTGAAATATATGATAAAGGCATAACAAAATTTATACCAAAGCAGAGATGCAGAACTAGGAAACACGAGGGATTCAACAGAAATTACGAGAGGGCCAGAGACCAAAAGACAAAAATGGAATTAATATATGAAGAGGCCAAACCCCCAAACATACCAGCAATACAAAGATGCGAGAAACAACTACACAGCAGTGAGGAGAGAGGTAGAAAGAAATTTTGAAAAAGGGATAGTGGACAAATGTAAAACAGAAGCAGGTCTCTTCTGCTTTTATAAACATAAACATAATTTATAAACAACAAACTGCAGGTAAAGGATAATATTCAGAAGTTGAAAATGAGAAACAGATTCACGGAAAATTAAAAGGAAATGTGTGAAACATTAAACGAAAAGTTCCAAAGTGTGTTTGTACAAAATGGGATCTTCAGGGAACCAGGCACAATAAGAATTCCAGAGAACATCTTAAAGCACATAGAGGTGTCTAAGAGACAAAGTGGAAAAAATGCTCAAGGAGCTAAGTAAGAACAAAGTAGTTGGCCCAGATGGAGTTTCACCATGGGTTCTGAGAGAATGTGCATCTGAGCTCAGCATTCCATTTCAACTGATTTTTCAGGCATCCCTGTGTACAGGAGTTGTAACTGATGTGTGGAAAAAGGCTAATATAGTTCCAATCTACAAAAGTGGCAGCAGGGGAGATCTCCTCAATTATAGACCAGTATCATTGACAAGTGTAATAGTCAAAATATTGGAAAAAAATAATTAAAACTAAATGGGTAGAATTCTTGGAGAAAAATGATACAGTATACAGTAATATCAGACAGTATAGTTTTCGATCTGGAAGATCCTGTGTAATGAATTTACTCAGTTTCTATGATCGAGCCACAGAGATTTTACAGGAAAGATTCAGTTGGGCTGACTGCATCTATCTGGACCTAAAAAAGGCTTTTGACAGAGTTCCACATAAGAGGTTGTTTTGGATACTTGGAACATATTGGAGGGGTGACAGGTAAGCTTTTATCATGGACAAACAATTTTCTGATAGAAATATGAGGGCAATAATCAGAGGCAATGTGTCAGGCTGGAGAAATGTCACAAGTGGGGTACCACAGAGTTCAGTTCTTGTACCGGTGATGTTCATTGTCTAACTTAATGATCTACCAGATGGAATACAGAATTATATGAACATGTTTGCTGATGATGCTATGATAATAGGGAAGATAAGAAACGTAGATGATTGCCATACCCTTCAAGAAGACCTGGACAAAATAAGTATATGGAGCACCACTTGGCAAATGAAATTTAATGTGAATAAATGCCTTGTTATCGAATGTGGAATAGGAGAACATAGACCTCACACAACCTATAAATTATGTGAGAAATCTTTTAAGAATTCTGATAAAGAAAGAGATCTAGGGGTGGTTCTAGACAGAAAACTATAACCTGAGGACCATATTCAGAACATTGTGTGAGGAGCTTATGGTACACTTTCTAACTTCAGAATTGCTTTTAAATACATGGATGGAGAAATAGTGAAGAAATTGTTCATGACTTATGTTAGACCAAAGCTTTAAGAAGCACCTCAACAAACTGGAAAAGGTGCAAAGACATGCCACTAAGTGGCTCCCAGAACTGAAGGACAAGAGCTACGAGAAGAGGTTAGAGGCATTAAATATGCAAAAACTAGAAGCTAGAAGAAAGAGGCGATATGATCACTACATACAAAATAGTAACAGGAATCAATAAAATTGATAGGGAAGAATTTCTGAGACCTGGAACTTCAAGAACAAGAGGTCATAGATTTAAACTAATGAAACAAAGCTGTCAGAGAAATGTAAGAAAATTCACTTTTGTAAACAGTTGTAAACAGTTGGAACAAGTTAGGCGAGAAGGTGGTGGAGAGAAAAACCGTCAGTAATTACAAAGCGTTATATGACAAGAGTGCTGGGAAGATGTGACACCACGAACGTAGCTCTCATCCTGCAACTACACTTGGGTAATTACACACAAGTTCGATAGCCCGAAACGCTGCGCGTACTAGTGGCTTTACAAGACTGTAATTACCATATTTGTATCCTCACATTCCTTATGTACATTCTTGTATATGCATAAATAAATAAATAAATAGCTTTCAAAAGGAAACTGCCTAGCCAGATTTCTAAGTATTTGATACAATTGTTAGTTTCTTGGAAAGTGGAGAGGAGTCAGATTTGGCAGAGAAAATAAATAGCCACAAATGTAACATCCACTTTATGATTTGGATACTGTATTTGGAAAACTCAATTCAACTTAAGGTAAAGCTGAAGTGAAACTTCATTATGTACATTGCCAGACTGTAAATGTGTTCTGAAAGCTTTTACTGTAAAATTTGGTATTTTTTCAAACCAATTTACAAAAGCACTTCAACAACATACCCATGTTAACATTTAATGTAACAATTAACTGGTAATTGGACATCTCTAAGATAAAAGATCTAAAAAATTATGCAATTATTTATTGACATTGAAAAATGAATTGAATAGCCAATCTTCATATATACATAATTTTATTTTTAAGTCAAGCCATGTATGCTGAATCCTTTTGGCTGTGATATAAAATCTGAGTGAAAACATCATAGAGAAACTTATTGAACTAAAATGCAATGATGACTGCAAATACAAATTTGAAAAAGTTGATAGACTGAATTTTGGCTGTCAACACTGGTGTAGATCAAGAGGTAGCTATAAGATCACCTAATAACTCCATCTCACAGTAGTGATAGTACTGTGGTATTCACCACACATACCATGGCACTCTCACCAGTGGTGGTGCGGTGATACTGCAAATACAACAGTGCTACCACCACCACCACCTATGTCGTGGTAATTTATTCGATTTTTATTCTTCCTGTATTTCTAGCAGCAAATGATGGAAATTTACCTGCACTATGATCATCTTATAATCTTGGATTAGTATTTCTTAAAGTGGATACTTAAACATCACACTTTTATATATAAATGTTTTATTAATTATTCTACATATGTATGTTTAATATATATTAAAATATATGGTTTCTTGGGAACCAGCTACAACAATCCAGGACTAATACTGTTAATAGTCCTATCAATTTATATAAAAAAAACTGTCGGTACTGTATTACCGATCCTAAACTGCAAAATAAAAAAAAAATAAAAAAAAGTAAATAAACTGCATCTTAGCAATGATCATAGTTGACTAACCACAATCTTGTTTAAAAACAAGCAATCTACATTATGTTTACAATATATACACTTTACTCTCTCACAATACTATCACCAGTTTTGGACAGAAGCACACATTGTATGATTATTAATGCAGAATATCTACATGCAAATACGATGTCATAAACTTAACGAAGATCAAAAATCAAGATACCAAATAGGCCAGTTTGCATCGCACTTTAATTTATTGCACAATACAACACACTAACTGCACAGCAGCCATGATTTGTCCCCACATACAGAAAAGTTGGATGTACAGGTATTGAATTATCACAAAGTTCTAAACCAGTATAGCTATATAGCATTATCAATAATGAATATTCGAGTTCCTATAGATTGTTTAGGATGCCGATATAAAAGCAGAAATACAAGACGAGAGAGACCAAAAGAGGCAAATTTGCCGAACGTATTATCAAGATTTATCGAGACTCAAAAGACGTGCGTATTTAGTACAGAATACGACTCACTGAATTATTTACAGTGTAAACGTGTGTGAAACAAAACTTCTTGTGTCCACGACGCCAGAATAACTGGAAAGTATAAATGTTTTTCCAACTAACGTAATCCACACACACTCCAAGATGTTTTCAATGGTGTTAGCAAGTGAGACAAGGAAGTATATACTGTACATTAGTTGCAAACAGGCAAACAATTACCAGTGAAAACTTCAAGTCTAGAATATCCCATGATGCCAAAATACAACTATGTGATCACAAATATATATCATACTTATGTATGCCTCTCTTGAACATACTGTACATTATTACTCGTAACTACATGAGGATAAATAACAATTATACAAATAACAGTATGCATGTTTTTAACGTAATTTATTGATCTCCTAAATCTTTTTGAGCCGTTCGAGCATGTGCAATGCATATTATTATTCATAATTCATAACTTACCCCACTGTATTTGTTTTTTAACCATAGCTGATTTAAGTAAACCATTTCAGTTATATTCTCAAAACACTGGTATCTTTACAACTTTCAATAGAGTTTAGTATCTATATACACATACAGTACAGGGTACTTCCTTGAGCAAATATATATATATATATATATATATATATATATATATATATATATATATATATATATATATAATATAATATACACAGTATAAGCAGTCCAGAAGCCTTTAATGAATCTGCAGTAACAGAAAAAAAAAGTTCTTTTCACAACCAAATATTGATAACAAACAAAACTTTTAACATATTTTTTTCTGTATCTACTCTTGGGTATACAAAATCTTTGCTTAATTCTGTAAATTAAAAACCAGATAATAAATCGAGACTTTTAAGTACTGTATTGACTATTTATGCCGACCTTTATACTAGAATTTCTTCAAAAAGCTGAACACTGTAAATAAATTTTGGCTTCAATAAATGATTTATATAAATATGGACAATTTAAGTACAAATTATTTCATGATGCAGGCACTTTCTTGACTATGTAAGATGGCATTAGATTTACCCTAGTAAGTGCATGAAGTACTTACTGCTGTATTCAAATAGCCCTGCAATATGTATCAGCTGCAGGAACATATACTGACTGATTTTAATTTTTATGTAATATCTCATATGTCAACCCCTCTCCTGGCTTCCTGTTAATAATACTTGCTAGCCACAACAATTATCTGTAATACAATTTGCCAAGATAATATCCTCCAAGAAATTCGGACATGACGACTTCATCTAGCCTCTCGATACACCTATCAACTTATTACACAATCTTCCCAAATTGGCTGATTTTATAAAAATATGTTTTTTTACAAGTACTATTCCCACACTGGCCTGTTGATGTTATAAGCACCCCGTGAGTGTATGGAATCAAATCCCGACAACATCTAACACAGTCTTGTTTGTGTTAGATCATCAATCCTAACATAGTCTTGTTTGATTACATTTTTTGCATATAGATTGCCAAAAGCTTACAAAACACCTAAAAAGTCCCACTCTTTTTCACAAGCAAATTTTCCTTGTACGGTGACCTTAAATTACATGGTGCCAGATTATTACTTATATTGAACAATTCATTCCATGTACAAAATTTCCTATATTATATATTAAAATATTGTACCATGTATAAAAAAAAATGCTTGCAAGTACTGCAATGTACATGGAGCTATTCAGCATACATTCCTTGCCAAGTATTAGTGTGTGTTTTCAACATTAGCTGCATAGTTAAAATGTCAGATACATTACACCAAAATATAGTTAAATTTAACCAGTTGCTCATGCAATACCTGTACACATCCTCCTAAATGTTGTATTTCAGCTTTGAAAACAAAGGTAATAGGGAAGCTCTACAGACTTTGGCAATCTAAATATATTTTTAGGCAATATTATATATATATATAGCATAAATAGAAATTACAGTATCTAAACAAAATGTAAGGAACTACCATATCATTTTTAAAACATACAAAAGCCCAATACAAGTGTTTCATCTCTCTTAATTTCCAAATAATATACACAAATTTACCATAGTACAAGAGTTAACAAAGAAAAATGAGAACTGTAATTAAATGATCTCTCTTCCCTTCCCCTTCCCATAAACCCAGTACTGTACAGTCCATTCAACACAAACTAATGATAATTATTCCCACAGATTTGTGATAACTTTATGTGAAGCTGCTCAACCAAAAGCAATATTCATAAGCAAATATATCAAGCACTGCTCTAAGTTGTAAAACTTAGCCCAGGTGGTGGTTAGCATATTGTTAATCCCTCTTGGCCCAGGTGGTGGTTAGCATATTGTTAATCCCTCTTGGCCCAGGTGGTGGTTAGCATATTGTTAATCCCTCTTTGTTCTTCACAAACCAGACACTCAAAACAGTGACTTCGAATCTTTGCTGAAGTAAACCGCACATTTACCTGGCTGTCAAATGTAAAAAGTATTACCACTGCCTTGTACATACACACACACAAAACTATACCCAAAAAAAAAACTGGTAAGAGTTGCTCTTGTATATGTGCACAGATATATATATTAAAATATTAAAGCAGGCGTATTGGAGTAAATACCATTAGTGAATACCCAAGAGGGATTAACAATATGCTAACCACCACCTGGGCCAAGAGGGATTAACAATATGCCAGCCACAACCTGGGCCAAGGGGGATTAACAATATGCTAATCACCACCTGGGCCAAGAGGGATTAACAATATGCTAACCACCACCTGGGCCAAGAGGGATTAACAGTAGTATGCCAACCACCACCACCTGGGCCGGGAGGGATTAACAGCATGCCAACCACCACCTGGGCTAGGAGGGATTAACAGTAGTATGCCAACCATCACCTGGGCCTAGAGGAAGGTATTAACTTTGTGCTAAGCCATCAACTTGACTGTAAAAAACTGTGTCATATTACAGAACACAGAAATAACAATTCCATCACTATATTAAAACTATCCAAGAGGCAAGAAAGTCCCCTTCTAATAGCATCTGTGGGACTCTCACGGTGGGCACATTTTTTAGTAAAAAGCAAAATGTGTTTAATCATAGGCATATGACACTGCTGAATAACCTAGGAAAATATTTTGATAAGAAAGATCTGTAAGTGACCACTGTAAAATCCACCGAATTATGGTATGAAGGAATATACGTTACATTGAGACACTCAAATATTTCCCTTTAACAGAAATGAAACCCCTGACTTGGCAAAGTGATGTGCATGCCCAATACTATAGTCTTAAAACCACGTACGTTACCATTTAATTTCTCGGAATGTGTGTCCATATTGAGATACTGACATGAGCAATAAGTGTTCCTTGCAGTTAAAAGCATTGTAATTTGAAAAAGTAGTGTCTTCGCAATTGCACACACACAACGTTCAATTGTGCTGACTTACCAAAAAATATCTCGAACTATCACTTGTTTTTAATCTTATACAATATAATATCAATTTATACAATAAAAATTTCTTTAAAATAATATTTAGAGTTCACAAATAATAACTAACCATAATGCAAAATATATGGAGATGAGTCAAGAATAAAATAAATACTTTTGAACAATCAATGATCACAGTTATTGGAATATAAATTATAAATTTGCATATTGTACTATCATCAATCTTGCCCTGCTACACCACGATGAACAAATTGGTTACAAATGTTTACTACACAACTACTGTAATACTATACAGTAGTATGCAGCTATTGTAACACCATACTTTACTAAGCAGCTACTGTAATACTATACAGTAGTATGCAGCTATTGTAACACTATACTTTACTAAGCAGCTACTGTAATACTATACGATACTAAGCAGCTACTGTAATACTATACGATACTAAGCAGCTACTGTAATACTATACAGTAGTATGCAGCTATTGTAACACTATACTTTACTAAGCAGCTACTGTAATACTATACGATACTAAGCAGCTACTGTAATACTATACAGTAGTATGCAGCTATTGTAACACTATACTTTACTAAGCAGCTACTGTAATACTATAAGATACTAAGCAGCTACTGTAATACTATACGATACTAAGCAGCTACTTTGTTGTTGTTAGATCAAAAAGTCCCAAAGCAGCACGGGCTATGGTGAGCCCGTAGTAACAGCTACTGTAATACTATACAATACTAAGCAGCTACTGTAATACTCAGCTTATTTCTCTTTCACAGATACAGTGAGAAATTAAATAATTCTTTAATTGCATTCCTGGGGTTGCAATAGATATATTAGTTTATTGCTGCAAAAAATTATTTTGTGTTGGATCTAATACTTGCCAGCACAATTAGATCACAGATAAAGAAATCAAAGCTATATGGAGCTTATGCAGAAGTCAAGCAGCAACATCAACAAGTAATTTTATGCACAAGATCACATATAACTGTTAAAGGTACATGTCAATCACTGGAATCCTTGTCCCATAAAGCACATTACCTTATATATAAGTTGATATTTTGCCAATTTAACTATCTACAAATTTTATACATTATATCAATATATCATTGTTGAATGTAAAATTAACCAATATTCAAATATTTAAAAAGTTAAGTTAAGCAGTGAAAATTTGTTAAAGAAACAGAAATAAGTATTCACTTGTATTAAATAAAAACTTCCACAATTTAAGAGATGATAAATTCTCTCTTCCACTTCATACCACTAAAATATACATACGCTAAGGTAAATTAAAAAAAAAAAAAAAAAAAAACTTTCACACCCAACATCATACCACCTAAAGCCTCCCATATTCACTTCTTGCCAAATGAGTAATCAGTTGCTCACTTTTCAAGCAGAGACCTACGATGATGAGCTCAACACACTCATATAAACTTGTCATCTCTCACTATTTGAGCCTTTTTTTTCCAAATAAGAAATAAAAAATATAAATACAGCACTGTACCATATCGAGTATTCACATCCTAGGCAGTCTCTACAAATGTTGCAAATCATACAAGTATTGTTTTATATATACAGGTACAGTGTGTGTGTGTATATATATATATATATACTGTATATATATATTATATATTTTTTTAAGATGTCCTATGTTAAGTGCAAAATGATTGATGAGATGAGAGGTGATGCTGGGTCAACCTGAAGATATACTACGAACATTCAAACAATCACCAGTTACAAGCCTTATCATTAAACAAACTTGAGCAATGATAAATACAGTATAGTGACTTAACGATCAACACAAATAGAAGCAACAAGCTTAAAAAAGTATAACTATTTAATGAGCAATAAAATAGTGAGCAATACCTGTAACTAATAATGGAGCCTCAAAGAGCATGTTAACAAATAATTCTCAAGATAAAACAAATCTGCAAGACTTCTTGGGAAGAAATATGCCACTACAGTATTGGATGATTATCAATGATATACTGTATTATAAAAATATAGCTTAAAGTACCTCTGAAATACACTAATTCTATAACATCAGCCTTTCATTGACAAAACAAGCATACATGCAATTTCCTACAAAACTAGCTGAAATATAAACAAAATTAACACTACCTACATCATACAATACTGTTGCAAATCTGTGAATCTTGATTGCTTCAATTGATCAAAAATGAACTCCACCACTCTGTACAAATAGCTACAAAAAAATGCTGAATCACTTAAACGCACAACTTGCAAACACATTTCATAACTAATGACAATACATTTTGTCTTATTTGAGCAAGAAATATTAGACTAATAGAAATATTGTTAAACTTCTGTCTTAAAATAGAATTTTGATCTTAAGCTTCAAAAACAAGAAAACAGGTTATACAAAATTGATATTATCCTATCTTACCACCATAACCGGCTGGGAAAAAAAGTTCTTAACCCAACCTCAAGTGATACCTTTCAGGGGAGAGTGATTAGGAAGATGTGTAAAACGATGAACTTCGAATTTCTCAAGAGATTTCTCGAGACCAAGATAAGAAAATGCAGTTGAAATATTCAATGTAGATATTTCATGAGAAAACTCAAAAATATACTTTTGAGTTTTTCACCAGAAACTCAAAATTCTCCTTACCCATAGGCATACAGTTAAGAACCTGCACGAGCCCCCTTACTCAGCGGCAGAAGTTGACGCACGACTGGCTGTTTTAAGTTACATCTCACCAAGCACGTGGTAATGTAAAAGTTAAGTTGAGGAAAAAACAAAGTGACTTGAATGCCATTACAAAACATGAGAGCTTGGAAATCAAAAAGAAAAAAGTATTTAGTAGAGGCAGACAAATATGTGAAAGAAATGGTGGAGGATGGGTTAGAGAAGGCGAAAGTGAAATGTTTGCGATGATAGATCCTCCTGGAAAAATGACTGCTATGGCCACCCCCTAGTATGGAGCTCCCGGGAGGAAGTAAGGTGTCGGGGAGTACAGACAGGCATAACATTAGCATTAAGTAGGGTAACACTGTCAGTGTATGACAACTAGCAAACATATATACATCTTTTTAAAACTTAAGCAGAAATTTCATGGCAATATACACAGCATATAGAAAGCCAGTTTTGGTCTATGCAGCACTGATATGGAATCCCGATCTTGTGAAGCACAAGATGGCTGAAAAAACTCATTTTACAACAAGACTGGTGCTTTAAATAAATGAACAAAGCTATAAATCCTAGTTAAGGAAACAGCATAACAATCCTAGAAAGGAGAAGGACCAGAGGCATGACAACAGCATACAAAATACTGAAGGACATGTATATATGAACAAACATTTACCAAAAATTTGACAATAGGAGAGGATGCAGGCAAAGTTATTAAGACAAAAGAGTGTGACAGATGTAGCTAATATTAGTATGGTTCAGGTTGTAAGCAATAGGAATATTCTGGAAGAAGCAGTCAAGCATATCCATCCACATTTTCAAGAGCAAGTGTGAGAGAAAACTCAATCGTCAAGATATATACAGTAAAACAACCAAGAACCAATATCTGGGGGGTGGGGTCCCAAATACTTAGGAGGTGGAAACCCAAGAGCTGGAGCTCATTCCCTGTTGACACTAGGGAATGACACTGCCTCTTGACTCACCAATAGGCAGCATGTCTGACAGTACTAGAAGAGAGAGAGAGAGACCTTTACCAGGAATAATGCTGTCTCACCAACATGTACCCTCTCGCTCTCAATACTTCCACCTGGTTTTTAGCTTCCTTTCCTTCATGTGCTTAAACCTCACGAGTACTTCACTTTTTACCTGAATACAAAAACAAAACAGATAAATTGTGTATTCAGTAGACTATACCAGAGCAGAACCCAACAGAGTACTGTACATATAAAATATCGAATGTAGATTAAGTACTGTATTTTGCATAGCTCAAGATATTTTAACAATTTGACCTGCAACTTGCCCCTTCTCTCCTCAAATCCTGTAGACTGGTTTGATTTGTTCTAAAATTTTAACTGCTGCCTGATATTACCCAAAAAGTGTTTAACTGAAAACAAAGCTCATCAACCTGTTCTCTCCCCCTTAAGGTTTGGAGAACATAACTAGGCATAGATAAGCATCAGCTTCCAGCGCCTGGCCTCATGCCAAATTCTCACACCAGTGACCATAATCACTATCCACATACTGTCAGATCTTAAATTTATAATAAACTATTTACAAAATGTGCAATGATTTTATATTATCTTTGATCATAAATTCAGACTGATGATGAGTGTTGAAGTTTATAACATCATACAGAGATGCTACAGTCTTACGGCTCTCTGAAGATATTACAAGAATTAGTGACACCCAAGACAGACTCCAAGATTCCTTCGTCTCTGAACATTTATGAAAGATATGTATTACAATAAAATTAGGTACTAATGGAAAATGTTTCTTTTCTTCAAAGAGTTGAAACACATCTACCTAAAGTAGATGTGTTCTCTGAAAAATGTCAAATATAACATGATTATAACAGTAGGTTCACGAGGGACCTTGTAAGTGACCAACTTTCAGCTAAGTATTCAACATTAATATTTAAATAGCTTTACATCAAAGAACCTACAGTTAAAGATTCTCAATGAAAACTGTAAAATTCATAAGCATGCATCTTACAGTCTTAAGCATAGCATTTAGACACAGAAATGTAATATACAGCTTCAGCCACTTGAGGCTCACAATAAAAACCACTATGTCAGATAAAATGCTCATCCTGAAATCATGATTTTGGAAATACACATTGTATACATAAATTCCCATGGGTGTAGTTCTGGCACCTAATCAAGAATTCTTACAAGATACAGTACCTGTATTCTTTGTCTAAAAGCAAACTGAAAAGATCTCATTCATTTGTCAGCAAAGCTTAACCAACACAGTTTCTTCTCTCCCGAGAAACACACTTCCTCCATTTCTATTTTTGAAAGAAATTTTGTTAAGATTCACTTACTCTTCACAGGGCTTAACTTATAATTCACTTAAAATTTTGTATTACAAAGTTTATTATAAGCAAAAATTTAAGCTTAAACCTTTAAGCTTTATATTGCTTTATTTGACAGATTCATAAGTTTTATAAATCATATTTGAAGTTAAAGTTGCCACATCACAATTTTCTTTACATTTTCAAAATCCTTATGTTTATATGACTGCAATTGCACAGTCTCAACAATGTTTGCACAATTCCACAGACAACACATATTTAAATTTTCACTTCATAAGGCATCCGTATGCATTTACACTTCCTACTTTAATTATTTCATAATTTTTGTCACCTTGTCATTTTCACCTTGATTAGATTCATTGACTCCACTTTCAATATGTTTAATATTTTCAAGTATATACAGTTCTGTACCGGTATGTCACTAAATCACATGTTAATACTTCATAATGAAGAATGAGGAACAATTGAGAGAATTGTGCCGGTGCAAGTCAAGAATGGCCTTCTCACATTAGGTAGTGACCAAGAGCTCGAAGACCATGAAGTAATTCAGCCTGAAGACGGGCCTCCAAAACCAGAATCATTATATGAATCTGAAATGTTATGAACAAAGATCATTCCTTGCTACTTCACATAGCTGTTATTTTTATCATCATCAATATTGAAATGGAACAGAAATATGGCAATAGCACAAGCAAGCCCTCATGCAGACAAACTTTAAATAAAAAGCTATTATCATTGCTAAATCACCAAGATTGCCTTGCAGCAATGTTATATTATATAAAAAAAAATGTCCTGGTACTCAAAGCAGGAAATTTAGACTAATTGTAACAATTGTATCTTAACAAGAGACAAGGATGGGCAAGGGAAGCTCATCACCATAAAAACTAATTGAGTGCATATGAAAATCCTTTTTCAGAGTTATATGCTCAGTTGCTGCCCAAGACAAGATCCTGCTCATCTCGGGTTAGAATTTACTCCAGTCAGGACAGTCAACATTTCACAGTAGTATTGTGAGAAACTTTTCAGTCTTCATTTGCTCATATTGGTACTAGGGAGACACTGAAGAAAACTAGCCAACCCAAAAATGTGTATGTACACAAAATTGCTAAACAAACCCAAAAGCCAGTCCATGCACTGTGTGGCAATTTGTGTTGCAAAGAAGAAGAGAGGAAGACCACCAATCAGAGTCCAAGGAGCAGAGCTCAGGCCAGTATAGAAAGACTGAGACTGTCCTGAGAATCAAGGACATGCAGAGGAAGTCCTTGATTCACCTACAGTAAGATAAGAAGGCTCCGTCTGAGGCCCCTCACAACAAGACTCGTCTCTCAAGATCAACATCACAAGGAGAGCCCCACTGCTGAAAAGCATGAACTGACCAGATAGAAAAGCACTGGCCACTAATCTGTGGAAGTCCAGTCATACAATAAGTCTGTCTACAAACATGAGAAGTGTTCACTATTGTAGCATGACCTCATTGCACAAATGAAACACTAAAGCTTCTAAGGATAACACAAGTCACTTAACTGACAGTGCTGATCTATGCCTATCCACACAACCTTCAACCAAGGTGAACCAGGATGAAATGTGAAGGGGCAAAAATGTTGTATTAAGAGCTGCCATCTGGTGGGAATCAATGCTAGTGATCCTTGTAGTTATGTACTGTAGTTAGCTTGGAGGGAAAGGAAGCCTAGCTTGTCAATACTAGTGTAGCCAAATTGCCTGTGACTAGCTTTTGGGTTTCCAGTAACCACTTTTCTGTTTAAATTCTGGGCTAAATCAATTGTTTTCTGGTGTCAACCAAATAAAAGTACAACCCGAGAAATGGTGTCTAAATTTCCCTGCAGAAATGGGGAATACAGTAATAGCATCTCTCGAGAGGTCGAAAAGACTTTGCCCTAAGAAAAGTGGCCAAGTGAAATGGCTAAGAAAGAGGCCGAGTAAACTACCTACTCATTTGCCAATTTGTAAAAATTTAAGCTTTGCATTATATGATGGTAAAATTGGGATATTTTCATTCTGAATTTTTGGGATGCCACAAAAATATGGTGATGAGCAACATTCTTCAAGAATCTTATGAGTTCCATACTATCTATACTGTCCATAATGTCTATGCTCCGCAATACAAGTTACAGTATATTTTGCCCACCCTTTCTCCTCCCCCCCATTCAAGTTAGCCATTTTTTTTTACCAGTAAAAAATCTATTTTATTCAGGTTAATCAAAAGTTTGTGAGAAGTAAAAAACTGGAGCGTGAATTCATTAGGATTACTAGAAGATGTGGGTTACTGGAATCCAATTTACTGAGCTCTAATAATATTTTGTGCCTTTATTTGCATGGCATTTATACTCGAGCCAAGTCTAGTTTAGAAAATGTAATGGATACTACTGTAGTTTCCTTTGTGAGGTCCCAGGTTGGTGAGGTTTCCTTTGTGATCTTATATTCCTCTAAGCCTAAGAAATTTTAAGCCAGTGAGTCAGCATTGCAGTATAATATAGAGGTTTTGCAAGTGTAGAGAGCAACAGAGACTGTACCCAGTGGCCACCGATGGTTGAAAGTGACCAACGTTACATACTGTTTACTATGTAACATCAGTTGCTTTCAACTAACGGTGGCCACTGTGTATGTGTAGGTGTACCCGATTAGCATGTTTAGAGATCTATATAAAGTGGTACTACTCTATATGCTGTCCATTGACAGAATTTATTGTACTGTAGTTCTAATAACCAAGAAATGGGGCATCTGGAAGCCTGAGATGCATCCTTAAGTACAGATGTGATGACAAAGCATTATAATAAGACACTCACTTTCTCACTCTGTAGGAAGCCCTTCATGACAGTAGCAGCAGGATTTGCACACGTCAGCTGCTCAGGAAAGCAAGACACAGTCTTCAGAAACATCTTGAGATTTCTCTCCAACAGTTGGCTTATTTGGCTGTAGTCATAATCATCGTGTCTGAAACACAGACATCAAATTACAGTACCTTTTAGTGGCAGAAATTTATGACCGTCACAATTCAGATTTAAAAAACTTACTATCTACCTGTCACCATCAAATATTTCTTCCTTTTTTCCCAAAGATTCTTACAATTTTAAAGATTTGATTTCCCAATGTCAGGGGAAAGGAAACCTATTAATCTATACAAAGCTACCAAATTACAGTATCTCAGAAGTTGCCTAAGATAATTTTGGATTTACACACACAATAATGAAACTATATATGATAGCCACAGTATATAAACATTATAATAGCCATCTAATTCTGTTATAGCCGTTCGTACCATGTTGTGCTAACTAGCTGTTTGTACCATATAGTTCTAACAAGCTGTTCGTATGTACTGTGCTAACAAGCTGTCATACCTTATTGTACTAACAAGTGAACACAAATATTAAACATTTAATAATGTAATTAAAATATACTATTTCCATGGGACATTGGTATCAACATATAGTACAGAGCATAGATAAATGTATTCTATAATTGACATTATATTAACACATATAAATGCTAATTAAAAGAAGAATAGGAAGCCCAGTCACACATCACATGTTTCCTGTCCACACCACGACCACTAGACATGGCGACCAACACAAACTAGCGTGAAAGTGGTTTTCTCCCCTCATAATAGTACTAATGAAAGCAGCTAATGCTTTGAATATAATGTGCTTTAATATACCTACTAATCTTGCTCATTTTTTTCTTGCATTGTACTTGTTAACATTTTATAAATTCTGCGAGAATTTACCTACTTAAAATTATCTGTTAGATTAAGGACCAGCCCAAAATGTTGCGTGTACTAGTGGCTTTACAAGAATGTAAGCACCATGCTATGTACCCCTCACAAATCCAATGTACCTTCTTGTATATAAATAAATAAATAAATAAATAAATAAATAATGGCTTCCACAATTCTACTTGGCTATATGTATTTGCATCCTATGTTTGGTCAATAAAATGTTATTTGTGAAATATAACTCAAATTACTGTTTGTGGCAGGAAGCCTTTGCTTAGGCTTATCAATGTACTGCTAGGCCTACTACTGACCTTCCCCAGGATGCAACTCAACAGTTGCCCAACCCCTGGGAACTTATTTAACTTCTAGGTGAACAGAGACATCAGGTGAAAGGAAACATGTCCAGTTGTTTCTGCCTTGCCCAAGAATTGAGCCTGGGTCCCTCAGTTGTGGACATAGGACATAGACCTTCTGTATTTTTTATTTATTTATATATACAAGAGTTCTTACATTCTTGTACAGCCACTAGCAAGCGTAGCATTTCAGGCAAGTCCTTAATCCTAAGTTCCCGGAATATGACCCCGCCAAATCATTTAACAATCGGGTACTCATTTTACTGTTGGGTAAACAGAGGCTACAGTTAAGAATTGACGCCCAGTAAATCCTCCCCGGCCAGGATACGTACTCAGGACAAAGCATTCGTGAAACACCAGGCAAGCATCTTATCATTACGGCATGGGGCCATACAGGAATACCTGTACCTGAATGTTTTGTTTATGATCAGATACCTGTAATGAATAATGAAAGGTTATTTCCCAATGACTTACCTTATACCATATAGACAGTGAAGATAATTCCACACGCCCCGGCGGAAGAGAAATGTATCTACATGCGTCTTGTGGCCACAAGTGTAGTATGTCAGATTATAGGCAGTTTTGAACTTGTCATCCAGAAGATCTCCAACTTCATTGTATAATTCACTCACAAGTGAGAAGCCATGTTCCTCCCATGAACAGTCCTGGAAAGGATGAATATACAATATTGTAGTGTACATATTAGTATTGAAGAGGTCCCAAATTAGAGGTAACACTGCACCGATGTATATTTTATCTCTATCTCTCTCTCTCTCTCTCTCATCTCCAAGCCAGGGAGTAAATACCGAGCATTTTAGAAATGATACCAGTAATTTAGGCATTTTATAGTACTGTGTGCATTCTTGCAGTATTTTATCGTGCTGTGTCTATGCATGCACTATTTTATTGAGAATTCCAGGTACAAATCCTGGGCGAGACATAAATGGTTGGGCACATTTCCATTCACCTAATGCCTCTGTTCACCTAGCAGTAATTAGGTACCCAGGAGTTACTCAGCTTGTTGTGGGATTGTGTCCTGGGTAGGGTCAGTAAATCGACCTTGGGTGGGAAGGGGGGGCCTCAATATAAGCCAAACATGTTGAATACACTCTGGTTGCCTGTCCCCCAACACAATGAATTATAAATTAATTATTATGGTAGTGTATTATGTCTATGCATGCCATAAAAATTCTCTATATACGTTCTAATATATATATTGCTCTCATGTTTCCTTCTAGGGAATGGAAAACAAAGTAATGATAATACATTTTTAAATACCCTGTAATATCCTTACCTGTGACTTCACTGTAGGGACTGCTGACTTCACTCCTCTCTTGTGGAAATCCACGTACATGAAGTCTGGATCTGGCGACAAGTGACTGTACCGCGAGTGAGCAGCGTTTGTACACTCAACTTCTGGAGTCGAAATATTGGCCGTTTGCTTCTTAAGCTTCTCAAAACTGTAAAAGTATATACAGTATATATACAGTATTGTCATTATTTCAATTGATGCACATTTCTAAGAATGAAGCATCAAATCTTAATGATTTTAATAGCTTCTCTAATTAACAATGGACCCTTGCATAACATGCCTTTATATAAAAATTGTGCATTTAGACAATGTCAGTTTTTATTTAGTGACCAAAAATATAAATTACAACATTATTCTTATATAACAATCACCAATTTGTTTTAATTTTATCTTTTTTGATCCATTATTCTTAATCAGTATGCAAATACATCTGATAAAAATGTTATGAAATTAAAGATAAGAAAAATTGTCCATAAAAAATAAATTTGGTACAGTATTACAAACACAGTACTATACAGTTTGTGATTTTTTTGTTTCCGTCATTAATTTCTTTCAAAATTACACCAAGTGTAAATGTCTATACTGTACTTATTATTGTAATGGGTGTCGTGGCTTTCTATTGTTTGGGCCAAGATGCCTGATAGGCTTATTAAGATCTCCCGAGGCCAGCCACTGACCCTCCCCAGGATGCAACCCACAACAGTTGCCTAACTCCCAGGCACCTACTTTGCATCAGAAGTAAAGAAACATTTACAAATGAATCATCCTGCACTATAGTTCATGTATGTAAAATGTCATGTAATCATTATAATATCTAATCCACACATTCACCCCTCACCAACTCTTATACATGCACTCTATTTTTAATTCAGGCATTCCTGTAATGTACAGTTTTGTCATGTCTGGGAATTAACCCTGTTTTTCCCCACATGTTGTTCAGTTTATATAGTTTATATAACACTTTTTTACAGCATGCTGTTTTTCCTAGAAACATAACTAGTGTTATACAAGGGTCGCCTGTATTTTCTTGCAGGGTTCTAAGATCGGAATCTTTATTCCTAATTAATTATAAATATGTTCCAGTTCTAGGTGCACCGAAGAAATGTATAGCAATTAAAAAAATTACTGGTAAAACAAAAAAATTAGTAATATACCATGTGCTACACCTAACAATTTGACAGTTTTATAACTTAGTATGAATACTGTAATTAAACTTATTTTGTATAGATTTTATGTATACTGTATAACAAATTATAAAATCACACACACAGAAGAAGCACAAATATACAGAACTAAGGTTGAGAAACCTTGCATGAAATATTTTTGGTACTACAATAGCAGTAGTTCAGTGGCTACCCCAAGTTAAAACTCACTATAAATACACACAGCTCGTCTAACAGGGCTCTGACCTTGATAACATTTACATTGCTTGTCAGCAAACTATCCCTTTGTGGCAGCAATTTCATTAATAATATCAAGTATCCAGCAAAGGTTATTCCTACTTTCCCAGCTGACTAGTTGTTATATTCTATCATGTGGATCAGTCATACTATTACTGTATACATATAATTCCTATTGTCATGAATAGGTAGCTTGTACTAATGCATATCGAGGTCCCCTATGCCAACTACTGACTTTTCCCAGGATACAACCCACTACAGTTGCCCATCACCTATTTTATTGTTAAGTGAACAGAAGCATCAGGAGAAAGGAATGTCCAATATTTCTGTCTTGCCTAGGAATTGAACTTGGGTCCCTTGACTGTGGGCCAAGGATGTAAACCACCATGCTATGAGACCAATTCTCAAGGTGTATTTTCTTGAAACAGTCTTGATATTTGTAACAAAGACAGTGACCAGTCATAAATGAATGAATGACAGAGATAATTCTGTTAACTGGATGGTTGATTCCCTTATCACAAAAGGGAGTCTCTTGGGTGGGAATTATTTCTTGAAGTGAATGCGTGAGAACAAAAGGGGAGACAGTAAGCTTCAAAGTGTGAGGATGGATACCTAAGTTTACTAAGGTCAATATGTGATAGGTCCCATAAGTCACAACAGTGGCTGTACTTATGCACATGTCAATAGTGTGAAACTTGCTTAGTATAAACAACTGTCCTGATTCTAAGTTCTCTGATGGCATCTGAAATGTTGACATATGGATGGTTTGAGGATATAATATGACCCAGATGCTTTTCAAAATATTTTTGGGGAATCTCACTGCTTAAGTATTTTAGTTTAAGGTCTAGATAATATGAGTATTGTGTTAAAAGTAACTGCAGCATATTTGGTAGGACTGAATATAACATAACATCTTTGGTGAGTGCTAATACAACCAGTAGTTCATCAGCACATCAGAAATATTAGCCTTGGTACTGTCCATGCTACAGCCAGCTTGACTGAATCTATTATTTTTACAGTGGCTCAATATAGACTGCAAATAATAACAACTAAAGACAGCTCACAACTGATTGGTCCTGGTTCAATTCGCAGGCTGGGCGAGACATTTGGGCACTTTTTTTTTTTAATCTGATACCCCTGTTCACCTACCACTTACCCATGGAAAAAAAGAGCCAGATCTAGCTCACTATGCCCTGTATCCTAGCCATTTATTTATACCTGTTGGCCAGGGAATCTTGCTAATTCTAACAGACTTCCTGTCCAAAAAAAATGGGACAGGAAGGAAATGGTTTATTGGGAAACCAATAAACCAGGATAACTAGTACAGTAATTACTGGACACACATTTCTGTTGTCAATTATGTAAATACAGTACTTTGTACTGTATTTACTAAATACAACTTTGTCAAATGCTCTGAAAGCACTCGGAAAAAGTGAGAGCAGAACAGCATGCGAGTTTTAGTACTGAACAGTTTTTGTTGCCGAGAAACTCTTAAAGTACAGTACAGTACTGTATAGGTACTGTATACAGTTTTGAATGAAAATTTAAACTTGGAGGTTTCTACTTTATCAAGTAAGAATTCTGCAGAAATTCCCATGTGAAAATGAACTCTAGGGGTAAATGCCAGAGATGATGGAATATGTGGCAACAAAATATAAATAGGCAACAAAATTATTTATCCCATTCAAAGAGGAAACTGACTAGATGTGCAAACAAAATCTGTAGCTCAATAGGCAATGCAGGGAAATGGAGAACACAACCAGGATCCTTACACAACTAATCCTTATCAAAGATCACAGCTCACAATTTGTATAAATAAGGTCATCACAAGCCAAATGACTGATGTTTATCTTCCTACGACTTTTGTGTTGGTTGCATAATCTCCCAAATCGTGTAAAGTACTTTCACTAAGATGCCCAGAGCTGATCACAGCAGATAAAACATTTTTCCATTTTTGAGAATGCCACATCCAGTTAAAAGCAAAATTGACAAGCTTTCAGATTTCACTTCATATTTACCTAGCTGAACTTTACTTAAGTTCTCAATAATAACCTTCACCTATCATCCTCCTTATTCTAGCCCTAACTTAGGCGGTAATGGACACATTAATACTTACAAGGAAATCATTTATATCCATTTATTCATAACTCTTATCCATCAGAATAAAGTTTATCGGCACTTCCACAAATATTGTTCATATCATTTTGCTTATTTACCTTTCTCTTGTTAATTCCTCAGAAATACAGTTATAGTCTGACTGAGCGAGCGAGAGAGATCTCATACGCTCGAGGAGAATGTCGACTCCTCCTTCACTTAATTCTTGACTGCTTGGCGACCCCGATGAACAAGCCTGTGAAAATAAAAAAATTAATTTCCTTCCATCCATTATGCTCTGCCAGTCTTTGCTACAGTGACTCATTGAATCCTCAGTCTTTGGTACAATGAGAATTTTAAAATACTGTAATGTATTACACAATAATTGAACATGAGAGAAAATATTACATACCTGTACAAAGGGAGATGAATGTACTTGAACATCACTGGAGGCAGTCTCGATGCCACATCCGTGAACAAAAGACGACAGTGCATGGAATTGGGCCATTATGCATATTGCGTGTGTTATTTCACTTACTGACCAACCACTCTTTACCAGTTTCTGAGAAAAATTGAAATGATTTTATTATTAATTTATTATAAATTTTACACAATTTAACAGATTCCATACAAAGTTATGCACTATGTAAGTACTGTACCTTCATCAAGTTATTTAAAATAATTTGGTGACATTATATGATTAGAAAGGACAAGGAAGTAAATACTTGTGTTTGGACTACTTCAACAGCAATTTAGAACCTTGTATAGTACAGTACTTTATTCCAACCATCTTTAACAAGTCATGAGTCTAAGGAAGATAGTGATGGGTGGAGCCTGTCTATGTAAAGCTTTACAACGGAGGCAATATTATAATTAAAATCAACTATGTGGCTTAATTTCCCAGTGCAATGATTACCTGAGGGCCACCATCTATTTAGTAGCCACAACAGGGACAGGAAGCCAGTGGATTGTCAAAGCAAGGCAGCAAAACTAAGTTGGGCCATTTTACATTAACCAATATACTTCATTTAACTCTTTTAAATTATGTAGATCTCCTAACAATGCCAATTTTCCATTTGAATACTATGAACACTAACCACACAATACTAAAAGCGTATCTTATACGCTGGCAAATACAGTACATGTTCTAGGTAAAAATGCAGAAACAATGCTAATACGTATAGGTTTGGATAAAAATACATACGCAGCTATATATATGCAGTTCAATGTGAATTACATACTGAGGAGATGAACAACATATGTTTGCTTTCCTGATAAAAAAAAAAGTATTGTATGATTGTAGTGACCTTAAAACTGTTGGTGAAATCAAGTGATATGTGAAGGAGTGTCCACTTACCAGCACGTGATGCTTATCATAGAGCCAGGGTTGGTGGGCTAGTATGATGTTTGTGTGGTGGAGGTCCTGTAGCTTCTTGGGTGCATACTGCAGGCCTTGGAGCCACTCCTCTGGTCCACCAGCTTCCAAGAAGGCAGTCTTCTGCTCCTCCACCAGGTAGCTGCAGTCATGTCGACATGCCGCCTAGAATGCACACAAACATGTTAATTCAGAGGCAGTTTTTTTTTTTTTTTAGCTATGAGCCTCACGTAATTTCCAACAAAATGTGGAATGATATTTTATTTATGAGGCTTATTAGAGCTCCTAAATAAAAGCATGAAATGGTATATCACTGAGGACAGTGATATACCATTTTATGGTATATCTTGTGATTGTCCTTACTTATAATTCACAGTTGACTTTTCCATGGTATTTTCTGTTCTCAGGAAATTTCTCCTCGATAAAAGCCTAACGTGTACAAACACACTCGAGTGCCCTGTCCCCCGACACAATGAATTAATTCAAATTGTCTAACAATTATAATTATTACTCTATGTCGACTGTAAAAGAGGGAAACAGGTTCATGCAGGAACTTGTTTAAATCATCTTAATATACTTCAGCCATTGTCCCAATAGTTTATATTTACAAATTATGTTAGCAACTTGGCTGCTTAAAGGTAACATTGTACTTCTATTCAGTAATTCGCAGTAATGTCAGTATGCAAATACTGTACACAAAATATAACTGGTACAAAGGTCGAAGCTTCTATGAGGGAAAAAAATCGTGCTCAAGTTACAGGATCAGCCTGGCTGTGATGGCTATCTGAACATATGCAGGCTACATAGATCAGTTACACCTATCAGAGAATGCGCCAAACTATGGGTATTAGTGGCTGTAGGTATTTTATGTACTAGCTCTATCTGTAAATCCAACTTTATGTTTGTAACTCATCCTCTATGCATGTACTTTTACCCGAATAAATGCAAGTTTGAATTTGAATTTGAAGAATCATCAGGAATCCTGCAGGAGTAGGAAACGTCTTGAAATCATCTACAGTTAAATATACATACCATGTCCCAATTCCCTAAATGCTTACCTATATACCTACACTCCCAAACTTACACCTACACACCTGGAGGCCCTGACGGTCACCAGGTTGATCTCAAGGCTAGACAAAAAAAAAATCTTGCGTTTCGGCTAGGAGACGGGGCATAAAGAGCTAGATCTCACTCACCGTAATCACTGATAGGTAAGTATACCTACACACATCTGCAAATATGCACGCACATGCACATACCTACATACACACATGCACACACCAACACCAAGACATGTGCACACACACACACACCAAACGCCATAATACACCAGCCACAACTGTGGTGAGGTAAAGTGACGAGAAAATTGGCATGAGCGAGGTGCCAAGGCTAGGTCATTGTACAGACATCCCGAGCCACTCCTCTGGCACAGTGCCCGCCACGGCACTTGACCCACCTTCCATGATAAACAAAGTATGGAATAATATAACAAACACATACTGAACACACCGGTGTTTTGGCCAGTATGTCAAATTGGGGAAATTCGTTATCTATCGAGGGCATAAACACAATTTATCTATCGAGAGCATATAAATACTTTTAGCCACACAATGGCAGTCTGTACTTGTGTCAGACATGCGTTCACACACATTTATGGTTAAGGAACACATTACTAATACACATGGGTTTGATATTGTTTAAAGCGTAGTTTATACATGTATACATATATATATATATATATTAACGAGTTTAGGTGGTTGTAAGGGCCTTGTATGAGCCAACATGCCTTATACAGTTTCCTTAAACCTTATGTTCATATTTGTATACATGGGGGGGGATACAAGCATGTACAAATTGATAGAAAAAGGCAAAATTGGCATTGGTAATTGGATGTTCTGGACCAGAGGGCACGCATGGCCTCTCCCAGAGATGGCACTGAAGAGGCGTGCCACTGATAACAGGATGCTGACCCTCAAGGACATCACTAGTACCAAACATTGATCTCTTCATGTCCCGTAGCACAGTGGTCTACGCCCTCGGCTCACAATCGAGGGACTTTGGTTCAATTATTAGGGGTTACATAAATAGTTGGTCATGTCTTTCTCCTGCTGCCTTTGTTCACCTAGCCGTGAAATAGGTTCCCACGTCTTAAGTAACTGTTGTGGGATGTAGCCTGGGAAGGTTAGTAGTTGACATAGGGGGACGTGAATAAGCCTAATATATATGTTTCCTGTCCCAGACAACGTGAATTGTTATATAACAACAATTCTATATAATAATATATAGAATTGTTATTATGATTATAATAACAATTCAGTTATTAAAGCAGAACGTCATGTACCAGTTATGTACAGCAACAATGCTAGAAGTAATGATACATAAGAGACATGATAATGACAAACATGATATTGATAAGGTCGACACTCCCAACCTGAACACACAAATGTACCCAAAGATATATAGAAATAAACTGCTCCAGCGTGAGGGTACGTGGATTGCACCAACTAACACAAGACCAACACCATTCACAAGGTCAACGGTAACTAATACAACGGCCATTTGAGTAACGGTAGACCAGTTAGGGTCTGTTAACGAACAAGAACCTGAGCGCTGAAACTCACGCCATGGTAATGTAAATAGCAGAGTTCGAAGAGTACACGCAGGTACGTCCACAGTACCGTACCCACGCGCGGGGCAGACATGAGCACCCACACCTCAACTTATTTACTCTTGTGTTCATGATATCCTCATAATGCACCCAGAGTCTGTCAGTGCAGACTACTGATCACGTGCCTCTGTATGACTAACCATCCTGTGTGATGGGGATATTTTTAGCATCACGTAGCTAGCTTTTTGACACACTGTACTCCCCTTCATATAGTCTAGGGTAGATGCACAAATGCTGATGTACCTAATGTATTAATAAAAAAAAAAAACCGTCTACTCTGACAGGCTTCCCCACTCCTAACATTCCTCTTATTACTAGTACTATCATTATTTTAATTGCTGTTTGTATTACTTTTAGTAATATTGGTATTGCCGGTGCTAATATTCTACAGAGGCATGATGTTGATGTTTCAAGTGTTGCCAGGTTTACAAAATGTTCAACTGTTGCACTTCTCCAATAGTATTGGAAGAGCAGAGGCATGGTTAAGAAAATGTGAGGAAGATTGGGTAAAAGAGAGAAAGAGAAAGAGAGAGAATGTATTAGTGAATGGTGAGGTGGACCAGAGGCCTCCACCATGCAGTTGCCTGCATAGCACCTTTAAACTGGACCCAGAAGAATGTCTCTCCATCTGGACATTCATTCCAACCTTACTCCCCTTCCCTTCATTCCTCCTCCTCCTCCTCTCTTCCTCTCTCTCTCTTCCTCTCTCTCTCTTCCTCTCTCTCTCTTCCTCTCTCTCTCTTCCTCTCTCTCTCTTCCTCTCTCTCTCTTCCTCTCTCTCTCTTCCCCTCTCTCTCTTCCCCTCTCTCTCTTCCCCTCTCTCTCTTCCCCTCTCTCTCTCCCTCTCTTCCTCTCTCTCTCTTCCTCTCTCTCTCTCCCTCTCTCTCTCTCTCTCATTTTCCCTATATATTTCCTCCCTCCCGTCCATGACGAAAATAGAATTATGGTTGTATTTTTAGTTTATACAACAAAAATCTTTTTTCATGGTTACTCTTTTAATGTATTATATTTATTATTAAATGGGGTACCTGGCGGTGCCCGGGTAGACAGGGCATCATCTCCCCCCCCCCCCCAAAAAAAGGAAAAAATATTAGAAATAAAAAAAATAAATGAGAACCTATATTCTTGTGCAACAATTTCGTTAACAACATGGCTAGTGATTGGCCCCCAAAGTGTGACGTCATCAACCTCTTTCCGCCTAACTACTGCGAGACTATAACGAGCAGAAATTGTTTTAATGATACCCGATATAGAATTTATGATATACCCCATTAAACGCACCTTTTCATGGGGACAATGTGTGGGGGGGGGAGAACCCCTATTAGGCCACGTTGGCCACCTATTCCTCAGTAATCACAGTGTAAAGTTGGATGATGCGTCAGACCTCCAACCTTCGACAGACAGACATTTTTGTGTACTCACGTATTTGTGCTTGCGGGGGTTGAGCTTTGTCTCTTTGGTTCCGCCTCTCAACTGTCAATCAACTGGTGTGCAGATTCCTAAGCCTACTGGGCTCTATCATACTATCATCAATATATCAAGTGTTCCAGTATTCATATAGCAGTTACAGAGTTCAGCATACCTCAGCCCAGGAAGGCAAAAGTCAGTCAATATGGGACATTCTACAATATAATGTTCAAGAGAGTGCATGTTCTCACTTTCACAAAGTTGACACATTGTGTATTCGACATTTGGGTTTTGAGAAAGCTGCCAGATACGTCTATATCCCAGGCGTATTCCGGCCACTATAACATCACATTGCCGAGTTCTTTCTCTATTAGTCCCATATGTGAATGTCTCCTCACGGTATCTATTATAATGTTTAATACTACAACTTTCAGGTCTTTGTGAATTTGTTAGGTTAGTAAGATTTGCATTAGATAATAGTTTAAGTATTCTCTTTGTCACTGCTAAAGAAACAGGTCTCGGGAATTCTTTCTCTATCAATTTTATCGATTCCCGTTACTATTTTGTACGTAGTGATCATATCGCTATGCGTATATTATATATATATTTTGATTGATAAAGATTAAGCCTCCCAAAAGGTGGCACGGGCATGAATAGCCCGTTAACATATATATACTCATGCAACCCATATACACTCTGCAACTCTCTTCCCACTCAACCCCCCCCCCTCCTCGCATGGCAGCTTCAGTCAGTATTCTCTCTCCTTGCAAACCCCCCCCCCTCCTCCCAGACAATTAACAGCACTTAATTTGCATAAATTCCCTTCCCCTTCGTCCCCAGCCGACCCCGCCCGAGCTGGTGTGAGGGTTGATGTGCTATTCTTTGCTCCAACTGTTCTAAAAATACCTGCAGTGGCTGGAACACATTCTGTGACCTCTCTAAGCTTGCCGACTCCCACCTGGTACCTCACCAACTCTCACGCTGGAATATATCCTTATCTCACAAGCGGGAGATCAAAAGTTCGACTCTTGGGCGGTTTGGAAAAGTACCAAACCTGGAAATCTCAAAAAGAGGCCAATGGCTGATCCTG